AGCCTCTTGGCTATTTAACAAGAAAATAAAATCTAACTACATGCATAGAAATAAATCTAAACTAATAAGAAATAAAAGAGAAAAATAAAAAAAACCTTCAAATTGATCTCCATCTCCATCTTCATCATCCAACAAAGAGAAAAAAAAGAAAATTTTAAAGTGGTGAAAAATTCTTTTATTAATTGTAATAAAAAGTTATAAATTTGGAAGGTCTTCTCAATTAAGAGTAACCCTCCTCTCCAAATAAAGATACAAAAATTTTCATACCCTCAACCCCTCACTTTCTATCCCTATTTATAGTAAATATCAACGAATATGAGCCCTTAGATTAAAATCTTATTCAAAACCATCAAAAATCAGCCCTTAATTCGTAATAGAACTGTCAGTATCGATACTAGCATAGATGCTATCATTGATGTCCTATCAAATTTCTGCCTTCACGGATGGCTTCGTCTCGTCGAGATAGGCGATTTTCATATATTATATGTTAAATTTCGTCTTCCGGATTGAGAGATATCGTTGTTTCTTTGCGGCTAACTATCTTGAATATATTTTTTTCATATTTGATTTTTTTATTTTCTCCGGCTTCCATAGGCTACTCGGCTTGATTCTAGGCTTGGACTTTTTGGCTCTTGCTTGTGTTCTTCATTAATTCATGAGTTTTTGTTTAGAGAAGAGATCTTTGGCTTTATTCTTCATTAACCTGCAATTAAAGATAAAAACAATTATTAGTGGTATATTTATTCATTAAAAATAAATAATGAGGGTATAAAATTGTAATAAAAATGTGATTATCAAATGGCCAGAAGCAATTTCCCCTATTATATATCAATATTGAAGGACTTGTAAAACATCCCATCTGCTTGGAGGTTCCTTCCAGTATTATCTTGCTCATGTGTGGCGTCTACCTGCTTTTGATCGATGTTATAAGATACCTCATTTATAGTTTAGGTTACCTAACAAAGCCTCATCTACACAAAATGTGGAACTTCGGATGAAGTTACAGAGTGTGCATGGGTGCTTATTTGTGTTTCAGTTTGTGCAATTTCAAAGAAGTTATCATCTGCCTCATCCTATACGTATAATTGAACACAAGCACACATAGAGAGAGGCTCTAATGTTTATACTATTATAAGAAATATGAAAGAGCATAAAGCAGAGATAATGGAAAAAGGAGCCTTGAATACACTCCCTGTAATTGTTACAGTCGACTACTCTAATTAGTTAAGGATAGGGTGCTGAACTTGAGGATGGTGATGCATTGCTGGAGCTTCCAGATAGCTATCGGAGTTGAAGATGCTGCCACTGAGGATGTCAAAGAGCATGTGGTGGCTGCGGTCACCCTTAATGTAGGAGTCAAGTACTCGATAGTGATGAGGTAAATTTTAATAAAGCAGTGAATGTTGTATATTTGACAGGAAAAAAAAATCATTCATTGATGAAAAAGGAATAGCATTTACCTCAATAAAATTATAGACCTTTTAATTATGAGGAAATATGGGTTTAGGGGATAATTGTCTTTTTCATTTCCTATTTAACGGATTTTTAACCAAAAATTAAAATAGGACTAAGGTTACATCAGTGGTACAAGGACCAGGTTGAGAAAAAAATAAAGTGGGGGGACCAGGGGGACCAATTTGAGAATGAAAGCCTAGTACGCAGACCAAATTGGTTTTTCAGACTATGAATAACTTGCTGGATAAACATTTCAAGAGGGTCATTCAGTTAGGGAAAATCTCAGACAAATTCATTTTCTTGTAAAGTTAGGCTTCTTACTGATGGGAAAGTCTCACTAAAAAACTGCACTGTGTCAAACTTGCATCAGTATCTTGTCAGTGACTTTTATTAACAGAAGTAGACTGGACGATAACCAAATTCATCATCAATAATTGCAATTATCGTAATTTGTTAGTGCAATTAATAATTCATCCAAGTGCAACCTTGATATACCAAATACGTCACAAGTGATTCTGGAACCTTATGAATGTGTACAGGTCTAACATTCTATCACCACAATATAAGGTTACACTCTCACTTTATTGAAACAAATGAAAATAGGCACAACCTAAATCCTACACAAGTTGGTTGAGGTAACTCGGCTCCAACTGAGGTTTCATCCAGCCAATTGTTCTTATTGATATAAAAACCCCCAGGTCTGAGTACTGTCTTCTTAACATTGTTTTTATGTCAAACACGGATCAGATGAGAGCCTTCTGGGGCTGGTGGGAACAATGCAGCACTCAGATTGTTCTCAGGCCAAACCAGTGCCATCTATTCACTGTGGGGTATGAAAGTTGTTCAGTTAGGTGGAAGCACCAATTCAAGTGAAGACGGGGTTAAGCAGGTAGTTATAAGCTGAATCTATAGGAGAAGCGAACTGGGCATATATTTCATGAAGGAACCAGATTTCCCGAGGAGCAGGCAGATATTGCTTGAAGGGATTTACTCTTTATAATTGGATGTAATAATGTCTTGCAATTAATTAGCCCAGCAACCCCAATTTCACTTTTAATCACATACAAAGACAGCAGATTGAGGTTTTTGTTATATTGACTTGGTGGGACTTGGGAGTCAAGTGTTGGAAGGAATGCCTGAAACATCGAGCAACAGATTAAATGAACTCAATAAAAACTCTTACTTCATTGGACAATGTGATAGGCACAGTCATAAGAAGGGAAATAAACAAAAGGAAGACAAACAATTAGTAAACTAGTTAGTACTGCAGGTTTATGAAAAGAAAGAAAAGGAAAAAAAAAGGGGAAAAAAAGGAAAAAAAGAAAGAAAGAAACTTCTGCTAGGCAAGTTGCAACATGTTACGACGGCTTCAATTCGTAAGACTGGAAGTGTTCGAAAGGTAAAAAAGAGATTCTTAAGAGATCAGTAAAAAGGAGTTTGTGCATGGTAGATGCTACATTGCTGGTTCTACAAGTGAGAAATAGCTTATGTAATTTCTTCCTTTTCCTCAGTTCCAGTTGATGTATATTCTCTCTCAAAAGAAGTTTATGAGTGTCCAAGATAGTGGAAATAACTTACGCAGAAAAGAATATACAGGAAATTTTGCAATATTCTTTGATTGGCATATTGAATAAAAAACCCAGGACAAAGACAGAAATAACTCTGCACATATTGTGAAGTATCTTGAACCTAAATTATAACTATTTATTATGACCTAATGTAGCTGTTTCATCTCGTCTCATAATGACATAAGTGCAAAATTATTAATCTTGAACAGTGGAACGATCACTAAGAAAATGCTAGATTTTAAGATGTGAAATAATATTTATGAATCCAAAAGCATCTCAATACGAAAATAAAAATCTCCAAGCACAATAACAGAACAACAAAACAAGTCAAGGGCCTGATAATTCTGATAATTCTGAATATGAAAATAAAAAATCACCTTGAAGGCCGGACTTAAATCCACAAGTTGTTAAGTGGTTTGCAAGCTTTTCTCCCAATTCCTTCTGCCAATCATTCGCAACCTTTACTTCAGGAACAACTAAGTGGTTTGCAAGCTTTTCTCCCAATTCCTTCTGCCAATCATTCGCAACCTTTACTTCAGGAACAACACATACTACTGCTGTCTCCTTCTCGAAACTTACAGTGGCTGCAGATACTTGAGGCTGAGTGAAGAAATCTAGTTATTTTCTGAATATTACATCTCTCACATAAACTAGTATATGCCCTCCACCAACTTACTTTCTTAAGGTAAAAACAACTATTTAACAACTAATCAAAGACGTAGACAGCAAATCAAATGGTTTAACTTTTCTTATAAATGACATTTTGCTCTCCAACAATGCTAAGTATAACGCTGTTTCCTCTGGATTAGCAAAATAGAAAATATCCCTTTGGTGTTGTTATTTACTTGTTAGACCACCTGCAGCAGGTGGTTTTTGGGAGAGTTTTTTGGTACAGCAGGTAGTTTTTGGGATAGGGAAATGAAAAACGGAGGCAAAGATGGGAAAATTTTCCCTACCGTTTTCTCTGCACAAATCTGACTCAAGCGGGCCCCACCATACAGCAGCTGGAATTAAAAAAAAAAGGAAAAAAAGCGTGGCCCAATCAGAGGGCAACACGCGTCCACGTGCAGGGCTGCTGACAGCCTTGTCCTGCACGCGGACGCGTGTTGCCCTCTGATTGGGCCATGCTTTTTTACCCCATCCTCAATTATTAATTGATATTTTGACAATAATTTACTCAGAATTAATTTTTTATTTTTGCACCATAATTCATAATTTTTCGAGCTCTATAAATAGAGCCTAACTTTGTATTATTTGGACACCAAAAAAAAATGAGTTTTCAACACCCTATTTTCCTTCCTTTTTGTTTCTGAAACTATTTTCTTCAATCTTCTTCATGGAACCATCACAAAACTTTCCTAATTTCCCCCTTCAATTACAACTTTCCTAATCAACCTCAACATCCAAATATGCAACGCCCAGAAAATAATCAAAATACCGGGATGCAACCCAATTTTCAAATGCCCTATATGATGCAACCAAATTTTGGCATGCAATACCCTTATCTTCCTTATGGGTATCAACCATCTCTTGGAAACAGCTATGTTCCTTCTCATATGAACGTTCCAAATCCGGAGTCGAGCCAGCCAACGACTCCTCGTTTCAGTAGTGGATCGACAGACATCCCAGATTTTTCCACCCAGGTATCTTTGGGAAATGTTGGTGGGGATACTCCCCATAGTTTTCTACCTCCAACCCAACAATCAGTCAAGAAAACTACTTACGATACTTGGAGCACCGAAGACAACATCCTTTTGCTAACTAGTTATTTTCACGTTAGCAATGATAGTGAATTGGGTAACAATCAAAAAGATGACACCTTTTGGGGTAAAATTAAAGACTACGTGAATGAGAACTCCAATAGTGGGAAAAAAGGACCGTATTGACTTGGATAATAACGTTTATCGTCTTTTCCTTGTCTTGCACTGTGTTTGAGGACCTATGGGCATTTTTTAACACCTACAAGGTACGAGGTTTATTTTGGAGGAAGAGTGGAAGGTGGTGCGAAATCAACCCAGATATATGACTGGAACAAATGCATCGGGTAGTAGTAGCTCTAAAAGAAAGAGTAGTAGCGAAGATGTTGAATCCTCCATTCCTACCCTTGTCCGTCCAGAGGGTAGGGATGCAAGAAAGAAGAAAGTTAGAACTTCCTCTAGTAAATCATCCACTTCAAGGAAATCAAAAGTGGCAATTGAAGATGAGTTCTCCAATCTAGCATCTGCTCGTGAAAACTATCAACAATCTATGGAAAGTACTGTTTCAGCGATGTTGGAGTACGCCGCAGGTCAGAAACAAGCTGCTTATGCTAAGAAGTTGGAGGTGTGGATGATCTTGAAGAACAAAGAAGATCGTGATGAAGAAGATGAGTATGTTTATAACACGTTGAAGAAGGATCTGTTTGATCTTTAAGTTCCATATTGTGTGTTTTACTGTTTCAAATTGAAAGTGACATGTCTACCAACGTGCTTCTGATATTGAAAGTGACAAGTCTATGCACTATACTACAAAAATTAATTTGACCATTTCTTCCCACTTGCTTCTGAAAATTGAAAATGACTTGTCTACCCACTTGCTTCTGATATTGAAAGTGACAAGTCTATCCACTATACTACAAAAATGATTCTGGCCATGTCTACCAACTAGCTTCTGAAATTAAAAGTGACAAGTCTAGCCACTATACTACAAAAATAAATCTGGCCAAATCTACCAACTAGCTTCTGAAATTGAAAGTGACAAGACTAGCCACTATACTACAAAAATGAATCTGGACATATCTACCAACTAGCTTCTGAAATTGAACCATACCTAATCCTTTCATTCAACTTATTGGAATCCGTAGGTCATTCATTATAAATAATGTATCACACATCATATGAAAACCACTCACTATCAACACTTAGCAATTCAAACCTTCTTCTTCAAACAACCCAATGGATCTACCCCCAAATGGCTTTGATCTCGAAGAGTTCCAACGACAATGGGAGCTAGAAGGAAAAATACTTGATAGGCAGCAAGAACTTTTTGAAGAATTGCAAAGGAGAAGCGAACAACCCCATAAGAGAAAATCAATATATAGAGATCACCATGTTGCTCATGAGAGGCTCATGGCCGACTACTTTGTTGAGTCATGCACCTACACTGATGAACAATTCCGACGGAGGTATCGAATGAAGAGGCCACTTTTTTTGCGGATTGTGGACTCTATATCAAATTATGACAACTACTTCATTCAAAGACGCAATAATACAGGAAAGCTTGGCTTAACGCCGATCCAAAAGTGTACGGCTTCCATACGCATGCTTGCATATGGAGTGGCAGCGGATGCTTGTGATGAGTACGTGAAGATAGGGGAATCCACTGCAATTGAGTGTACTCGCAAGTTTTGTGAAGGGGTAATAGCCTGTTTTGGAGATGAATACTTAAGACGGCCAAATTTGGATGACTTGCAGAGGTTGCTCCAAGTTGGCCATGATCGTGGTTTTCCTGGGATGATTGGAAGTATCGATTGCATGCACTAGCAATGGAAGAATTGTCCAAAGGCTTGGCAAGGGCAGTTTACTAGTGGACACAAGGGAACAACAACAGTTATCCTTGAGGCAGTTGCCTCATATGATTTGTGGATATGTCATGCTTTTTTTGGATTGCCTGGTACATTAAATGACATAAATGTACTAGATAGGTCGCCAGTTTTCGACGACATTGAGTCGGGTGAAGCTCCAAGGGTAAATGTCACTGTGAATGGGAGACAATACAATCTTGCATACTATCTTGCTGACGGAATCTATCCTAAATGGCCTGTCTTCGTCCAGTCAATTCAAATGCCCCAAGGAAACAAACAGCAATTTTTTGCCAAACAACAAGAGTCATGCAGGAAGGACGTGGAACGCGCATTCGGGGTTCTCCAGGCACGGTTTGCTATTGTCCACCAACCAGCTAGAATGTGGAACCTTGATGTCTTAGGGGAAAATTATGAGGGCGTGCATTATTTTACATAACATGATAGTAGAGGATGAACGAGATACGTATTCCTGAAACTGGGAAAATCTAGACTTCGAACAGTCATCAGGCTCTAGTGCCTCTTTCAATGTTCAAACAGAAGTATTGCCTGAGTTTCAAGTGCATGTTCAAGGCCGGTCCGATTCGAATATTCCGACTAGAGCCGAGCTACGAGATAGGGTCCAACATATTCAGTTGAAGAAGGATCTGGTTGAGCACATTTGGCAGAAATTTGGAACAACCCTCGATTAGATTTACCAATTTACTATGTGTTTTCTTCAATATTTTTAATAATCCGTGTATGTTTGGTATTGGGTGTGATTAATAATATCGTGTGTTTTGTTTTTATTTATTTTTTTGAATTTTTGATATAAAAAATTAAATTAAAAATATATTATTAAATATTATATATTTTTTATTGCATTATTAAAAAAAATTATTAATTATAAATATATGAATAATAATTTTAATAATAATAATAACATATATCAAATAGGGAAAAAGAAATGAATAAATATGGTGGAGAAATATGGTGGGGTATATGATGGAGACATGTGGGTCCCTAATAAACTAAAAAACTTTCTGAAAAACTAGTTGTTGCAGGAATGGAAGGTAAATGGCCCAAATGGGTGTTATTGAATGATGTGTTGGATGAATAAGCTGATGTGGCATGACAAAATAGGTAAAATTTTGCCTACCTGCTGGAGATGGTCTTAACTTCCTGACTGCTGTCATGAACAGAACTTTTAGAAGTCCATTTGAAAGCTGATGTGGCATGACAAAATAGGTAAAATTTTGCCTACCTGCTGGAGATGGTCTTAACTTCCTGACTGCTGTCATGAACAGAACTTTTAGAAGTCCATTTGA